CAGCCCATGAGGAGATCTTAACGAACCTTTTGTGATATTATTGGCATTTGTCCTCATCATCACGGTGAGTATCATCAATTCCATGAACATGTGTGTGTGTCTCAGGGAAGATGTGCCTCCATGTCCCACTTGTCCAGGTGAGAAATCAAGAGTATAGAACTGGACTCTCCCCATCCCCCACCCCCTCACCACTCACTGGTCTCTGCCGGGTCTCTGCTGGCTCATGCTTGGAGCTGGGGTCCCGGGCTCTCTCCTCCCTTGTGAGTGATGAGAGCTGAGACTTCGTGCTCGGGACGGGGAGGAAGGTGAAGTCAGGCACCTGCACAGGTGATGGTGGTGAAAGGGGACGCAGGTAGATGCCTCACTGAGAAATACCCTCCTGGGCTGCAGGGCTGACTCCTTATTACTCCTCTGTGGCCTTGAGGGATCAATACACAGGAGAAATAGTGAGAAGCATTGTTTCTTGTTAGCCCAATCTCTGAGGGCCTCCTAATAGGAACAGATGAAGAAAGTATGAAAATTAAATGCAACTAGAAGGTGTGAACTTTTTTTTAAAACTTTTTAATTGAACCACTATGAGATAGACCCTTACAAGGCTGTTCATGATTGGTTTCAGTCATACAGTGTTCCTATACCCATCCCTCCATCAGTGTACATTTCCCAGCACCAGTATCCCCAGATTCCCTCCCATCATCCTCCATCCCCTAACCCCTGCCTGCCTGTATGGCAGGTTGTTGTTGTTGTTGTTGTTGTTGTTGTTGTTGTTGTTGTTGTTCTTCTTCTTCTTCTTCTTCTTCTTCTTCTTCTTCGTCTTCTCTTCTTCTTCTTCTTCTTCTTCTTCTTCTTCTTCTTCTTCTTCGTCTTCGTCTTCATCTTCTTCTTCCTCTTCTTCTTCTTCTTCTTCTTCTTCTTCTTCTTCTTCTTCTTCTTCTTCTTCTTCTTCTTCTTCCCCTTCTTCCCCTTCTTCCCCTTCTTCTTCTTCTTCCTCTTCTTCCTCTTCCTCTTCTTCCTTTTCCTCTTCTTCTTTTTCTTCTTCCCCTTCTTCCCCTTCCCTTTCTTCTCCTTCTTCTTCCTCTTCTTCTTCTTCCTCTTCTTCTTCTTCTTCCCCTTCTTCTTCCTCTTTCTCTTCTTCCTCTTCCTCTTCCTCCTCTTCCTCTTCTTCCTCTTCCTCTCCCTCTTCCTCCTCTTCTTCTTCCTCTTCCTCTTCCTCCTCCTCCTCCTTCTTCTCCTTCTCCTCCTCCTCCTCCTCCTCCTCCTCCTCCTCCTCCTCCTTCTTCTTCTTCTTCTTCTTCTTCTTCTTCTTCTTCTTCTTCTTCTTCTTCTTCTTTTCTTATTCTTTCTCCTCCTCCTCCTCCTCCTCCTCTTCCTCCTCTTCCTCCTCCTCCTCCTCCTCTTCTTCTTCTTCTCTCTATCTAACTATCTCTCTCTCTCCTTTTGGGCATTGTGGTTTGCAGTATTGATACTGAAAGGTTATCAAGAATATCCCTTTACCTACTTTTAAGCCTCAGATCTTGGTGGACCTCTTTTTTTCCCAGCTAGAACTCATTTGTACCCTTGGCTTCTGAGGTCCAATTTCAAAATATATTTCTACCATTTTCTCCTCTAGAAAGTTCTAATTTTATTCGTATCCTCTACTACCTCAGTTATGATAACAGAAATGGTGAGACCAACTAGAAGATGTAGCTTACTTTCAAATGTTTTATTCTAAATTTCAGACTTTGAAATTGAATTTCTGAGGGCTAGAGTGACAGTACAGTGGGAGGGTGCTTGCCTGGTCCGCAGTTGAACTGTGTTCAATCCCTGGCATCTCATAGGGTCTCCTGATCACTGCCAGAAGTAATAGAAATTATCCTGAGTGCAGAGCCAGGAGTAACCTCTGAGCATTGACAGGTGTGGCCCCCAAACAGAAACAAAAAAATCGAAATTCTGGCTTATGGGCCTTAACGTATTTTTGTTTGCCTAAAAATCTCTTTTCAAATCTGATAATAAAATAGAATGTTTTCTTTTAAAAAATTTTTATTAGTGAAACACCAGGAGGTACAGTTGTAGACTTACAAATTTTTGTGCTTGGGTTTCAGTTATACAATGATCGAGTACCTATCCCTCCACCAGCGCCCATCCTCCACCACCACGGATCCCAGCATCCCTCCCACCCCCATTCTCCCATCCCACCCTGCCTCTGTGGCAGGGCATTCCCTTTTGTTCTCTCTCTCCTTTTGGGTGCTGTGGTTTGCAAAAGAGGCATTGAGTGGCAATCATATATGGTCTATAATCTACTTTCAGCATGCATCTCCCATCCTGGGAGGATCCTCCCAACATCCTTTATTTGGTGCTCCCTTCTCTATCTGAGCTGCCTTTTCCCCTAGTGTGTGCGGCTGGCCTGCAAGCCATGGAGTAAGCCTCCTGGTACTTATCTTGGCTATTCTTGGGTGTTAGTCTCCTCAAATAGAATATTCTTGGTTGGATGTTTTCTCCATTCAGCACTTTTTCTCCCTTCTGGTCTCTAGTTTAAAAAATATATATATACATATATATATTTTGCTTTTTGGGTCACACCCGGCAATGCACAGGGGTTATTCCTGGCTCTGCATTCAGGAATTACTCCTGGCGGCACTCAGGGGACCATATGGGATGCTGGGAATCGAACTCAGGTCGGCTGCGTGCAAGGCAAACGCCCTACCTGCTGTGCTATTGCTCCAGCCCCCCAAAATATATTTATTTTTAATGAAATTGATCATGAGACGCAAAGCTATAAAGTTGTTTCTAATTGAGATCTAGTCACACGATATTCAGGCACTCATCCCTTCACCAGTGTCCCCTGTTCCCTTCCCTCCCCCCAATTCTTCTCCTCCCCCTCCTCCCTCTCCTTCCTCCTCTTCTTCCTTCTTCCTCCTCTTCTTCCTTCTTCTTGTTCTTGTTCTTTTTATTCTTGTTGTTGTTCTTCTTCCTTCTTCTTGTTCTTGTTCTTCCTCCTCCTCCTCCTCCTCCTCCTCCTCCCTCACTATCCTTTTGGGCGTTATGGCTTGTGAAACGTATCTGTTTACCTACTTTCAGCACACAGTTCTTGTACAGTGATCATTTCCAACTATTATTGTCATACTGGTCCCTTCTCCATCCTAACTGCCCTCCACTGCCCTCCCCCACCCCCCCTCCCCACACTTGTGGCAAGTTCCCAACCATGGGCCAGTCCTCCTGGTTCCTGTTCTTTCTGTCCTTGGGTATTAGTTGACATGTTTTTTTCTGCATTGCCCATGAAGTTTTCTTTAGAAGGGAAGACAGGAGCTGAAAGACAGTTCAAAAGGCTGCAGTTCCTGCTTTGCCAGCGAGAGCCCCAGGTCTAATCCCACCCCCCTGATAGATCCACAGGAATCATTTGTTGTAACCCTGCAGACTAGACAAAGCCAAACAGAACCCAGAAACTCCCTATAAGAAACTAAGAATGAGGGACTGGAGCTATAGTACAGTTGGTAGGCCGTTTGCCTTCCACGTGGCTGACCTGTGTTCAATCCCCGGCATCCCATATGGTCCCTCAAGCACCACCAGGTGTAATTCCTGAGTGCAGAGCCAGGAGTAACCTCTGATCATCATGGGTGTGACCCTCCCCCTAAAGAAGAATGAAGAACTGGGGATCATGGGTGGAGTTTGGCAGCAGAGTATTTGCTTTGCATGTATAAAGCTCTGGGTTGTTTCCTTGGGACTGAAAAATGAAAATGAAACAATTGAAGTACATTATCCACCACCTACAGCCTATAAACTTAGATGAAATCAAAGCCAAGGTTTCTTTAACACAGGCATGAGTCATGAAAATGGGCAACAAAAATGTGTACTCATATATTTATGTTTCCTTTTTTTTGGTTTTGTCGGTCACATCCAGTGATCCTCAGTATTTTCCTGACTCTGCAATCAGGAATTAGTCCTGGTTTGGGGGACCATATGGAATGGTAACTATTATAATTAATAATTATAATAATATTCCATAATGGCGGTAATTATTCCTGGTTTGGGGGACCACATGGAATGCTGGGGAACAAAGCATATGAGATGCTGGAAACGAACCTGGGACATTCTCATGCAAGGCAAGTGCCCGAGATTCTCTCCAGTTCAGATTTTTTTTGTGTGTGTTTTTTTTTTGGTCACACCTAGTGATGATCAGGTTACTCCTGGCTCTGTATTCAAGAATTACTCTTAGTGGTTCTCAGGGGACCCTAGGGCATATAGAGGATTGAATCCAGGCAAACTGCATGCAAGACAAATGCCCTACCCACTGCGCTATCCTTCTTCCCCACATATTTATATTTCATATTTATATTTCTTAAAAGGCGAGTCTGGGCCAAAAGCTGGAATGGTCCGTGGTTGGACACTTGCCACAAGTGATGGTGGAAGAGGGCAGTTAGGATGGCGAAGGGGCCACTATGACAATGATAGTTGGAAATGACCACTCTGAGCAAGAACTGAGTGCTGAAAGAAGGTAAAGGGACAAACATGTATTCCTAACCATAATGCCCAAAGTAGGGCGAGAAAGGTGGCACAGGAAATTCCTGCTGTAGAGGATGGCTGGTGGGATAGGGAAACTGGGGACATTGGTGGAGGGAAATGTACACTGGTGAAGGGATGGGTGATGGAACATAATATGACTGAAACCCAATCATGAACAACTTTGTAACTATGTATCTCGCAGTGATTCAGTTAATTAAAAAAAATGAGGTGAGTCTGCCTTCCTAACATGATTTCTGGTACATAGGTAACAGATACATGACAATATAAGGGGTAATAGAATTGCATTATGAGGGGTTATTGGAGTTCTATGATTCTAGAACATTCCCTCATACTTACACAAGAAGAGACAAAACAAACTATTTCCCCCCAGTTTCTAGACAGGTAGGCTAAGTAATATGAAACCCTGTTAGAAAATGATGCCAACAGGACATCGAAATTGCTGATATGTGACTGTTGAGATTTTAACAATTTTTTTTTATCCTATGATAAAAATAACTTAGGGACTAAGATTGTGTTGTTCTGTTGAGAAGCTTCTGGAAGGCCCTTTTGATGTCTTTGTTTCTCAGGCTGTAGATGAAGGGGTTTAGCATGGGGACCACCAATGAATACACCACTGCAGTCACTGCCCCCTTCCTGGAAGAATGGGACACAATTGAGCTGAGGTACACCCCAATGCCTGTCCCATAAAATAAGCAAACAACGGACAGGTGAGAGCCACAGGTGGAGAAAGCTTTGGACCTCCCATCCGTGGAGGAGACTCTCAGAACAGAGAACACGATTCTGGAGTAAGAGTACAGGATCCCCGAGACTGGTGCCCCACCAAAGATCACACTGAAAAAATACATTAATAGGTTATCAATGGACGTGTCCCCACAGGACAGCCTGAGAAGTTGAGGGAGGTCACAGAAGAAATGAGGAATTTCCACGTGGGTGCAAAAGGTGAGCTGTGACATCATCAGAAAATGTGCCTGGGAGTCCAGCAGGCTGAAAAAAGCAGATGCCAGGAGCAGCCAGCCACAGAGGGGGGGGTTCATGATGACGGGGTAGTGCAAGGGGTGACAGATGGCCACAAAGCGATCATACGCCATCACGGTTAAAATGGCACTGTCCATACAACCAAAAAGATTAGAAAAAGACAACTGTACCAGGCAGCCTGCATGGGAGATGGTTCTGCTCTGAGTGTGAATGTTCCAAACCATCTTTGGCACTGTGGTGGAAGTAAAGCCAATGTCAGCCGTGGACAAGATGGAGAGGAAGAAGTACATGGGCGTGTGGAGGTGGGAGCTTGAGCAGACGGCCAGGATGATGAGCAGGTTCCCGGTGATGGTGACCAGGTACATGGACAGGAAGAGACCGAAAAGGACGGGCTGGACTTGGGGATCATCTGAGAGGCCCAGGAGGAGGAATTCCACGGTGCTTGTGACATTGTGTAGATCCATGGAGCAGAGACACCTTTGGGAAAATCAATGAGAATGATTAACAGGCATGTAGGTCCTCAATTTCGTGTGTCTATTTTGAATTTAAGCAATTCACAAATACAGTAATTGTGCAGTAGGTCTCTCCCTCTCCACTTTTAGCTATTTTCTCTGGTTCTCACAAACATTATTCCTAGAATTCTTCTCTCAGATGACTCTGTTTTATCTTCCTTTTTTATTTTTTATTTTTTTGCTTTTTGGGTCACACCCGGTGATGCACAGGGGTTAGTCCTGGCTCTGCACTCGAAATTACCCCTGGCAGTGCTCAGGGGATCGTATGGGATTCTGGGAACCAAGCCCGGGTTGACTGCGTGCAAGGCAAATGCCCTACCTGCTGTGCTATTGCTCCAGCTTCTATCTTCCTTTTTTAAAATTAACATTCAATTTGGGAAGAAGGAGCTATAGGAACGAGAGAATGTTTTTGACAACCTGGATGGAATTTGAGAGTATCATGTTAAGGGAAATAAGTCAGAGAGAGGGTCAAGGGCAAATACGGGTTTGTCTTACTCATCTGTGGAATATAGAGAGTCAAAATAAGAACACAGAGAGCACTGAGCAGTGACAAATTCTGGACCCTGGAATACAGAACCAATAACCTAACAGAGGGCTGAGGGAGACGGGGAAGGAAGACTAGACCAGAGCAGGGAGAAAGACACTGGTCAGGGGTTGTGACACTTTGGTATCAGTGGGGTGCGGTAAGTCTGTATATCAGCATCCTAAATTGCTGTGACACTGCTATCACTGCCTAGAATCTGATAAATCAAATTCAGTTTAAAGAGCAGTGGGAGTAACAAGGACATTGATAGATTTGAAAAATCCAAAGTCCCACTCCTTTGAAGTCTACAAAAGTAATAAGACCTAATGCAGATTCTTCTTTCAAGAAGAGATGTTTAAGGCTGGAGCGATAGCACAGCGGGTGGGGCGTTTGCCTTGCATGCGGCCAACCTGGGTTCGATTCCCAGCATCTCATATGGTCCCCTGAGCGCCACCAGGAGTAATTTCTGAGTGTAGAGCCAGGAGTAACCCCTGTGCACTGCTGAATGTGACCCAAAAAGCAAAAAAAAAAAAGATGTTTGTCAACTGCCAAGATCCAGAGACTCAGAAATACAGTTCCTGGAAGAGAGCAACATAGAATGTCCAGACCCCACCCCCCTCCCCCAACACCAGTCTGTCTTCACTGGGGCAACTCGGAGGGGGTTGGGTTGAGTTTCCCTCCCTGCCCCAACAGAGCACCAGCATCTGAAAATCTTCAGAACCCATTGCTGCCATACTCATGGCCGATCTCCACAGGCTTGGAGGAACCTCACCCAAGAGTGAATCTGCAGAGGGACCCAGATATACGGGACCCGTGACTGAAATCTCCAAGCTTGCTTAAAGGGGAATGGGCCTCCTATTCCCATCTACCAAATTTACCAATAGCTTGGCAGTCACAACCACAAGCCATCCCTGGAGCCATATAATTGCCAAGGTCCAGAGACTCAGAACTAAAGCTCCTGGAAGACAGCAACATAGATCTCACCCATGAGTGAATCTTCTCTATAGTGGTATTCTAAACTTTAGAATTCCTGAAGCGACCTCTCATACTCTATAAAACCCATGTACCAAGAGTACCACACATTTGATTGGATTTAGCAAACATGTTTGTAATCTCTTATACAAGGGCTTAATGGCTCCAGGATGAAATACAACAATCTTCACACACTTTCCTGTTGATGGAGGTGGGAAGGTGCAATGATGGTGGATTTGGTGTTTGAATATTAAATATAATGAATTATTGCGTACAACTTCATAAAAATAAAATAAAATTAGAAAAAGATGTTTGAATGGAAGAAAAATATAATCAGTACTTAAGTTTACTCATATGCAGCACAATTAAGTTTCTTTCTTAAATTAAATTTATTTTTTGCTTTTTGGCTCACACTTGGCAATGCACAGGGGGGTTACTCCTGGATCAGCACTCCAGAATTACTCCTGGCAGTACTCAGGGGACCATATATGGAATTCCGGGGATTGAACCCCGGTCAGTCGCATGCAATTAAGTCGAATGCCCTACCTGCTGTACAATCGCTCCAGCCCCAGTGCGATTAAGTTTCATGATAAGGATTACTTATGAGCAATCATAATTGTCTGGATCCATTTTTATTTTTATTTATTTATATTTTTTATTAGTGAATCACCATGAGGTACAATTATAGACTTACAAACTTCCGTGCTTACAATTCAGTCACACAATAGTCAAGTATCCATCCCTCCACCAGTGCCCATTTTCCACCACCAATGATTCCAGCATCCCTCCCACCGTCTCCACCCCGTTCTCCCTCCCCCCACCCCTCTTCTGTGGCAGGGCATTCTCTTTTGCTCTCTCTCTTTCTGGGTGTTGTGGTTTGCAATAGAGGTAATTAAGTGACCATCATGTTCAGTCTATAGTCTGCTTTCAGAGTGCGTCTCCCATCCTGAGCGGGCCCTCCTAGCACCCTTTACTTGGTGGTCCTGTTTTCTAACTGAGCTACTTTTTCCTCCAGTATGTGAGTCCAGCTTCTAAGCTGTGGATTAATACTTCCAGTACTTATCTTTAATAATCTTGGGAGTTAGTCTCCTGTTACTTTATATTCCACAAATGAGTGCAAGTTTTCTATGTTGGTCCCTCTCTTTCTGACTCATTTCACTTAACATGATACTTTTCATGTTGATTAATCTGTATGCAAATTTCATGACTTCATCTTTTCTAACAGTTGCATAGTATTCCATTGTATAGATATACCAGAGTTTCTTGAACCAGTCATCTGTTCTTGGGCACACGGGCTTTTCCAGATTCTGGCTATGAACAGTGCTGCAATGAACACACAAGTGCAGATATCATTTCGACTATACTTTTTTGCCTCTCTGGGATATATTCCCGGAGTGGTATTGCTGGGTCAAATGGGAGCTCAATTTCTAATCTTTTGAGAATCGTTCATACTGTTTTTCAAAAGGGCTGAACCAGTTGGCATTCCCACTAGCAGTGAAGAAGAGTCCCTCTCTTCCCACATCCACGCCAATACCAGTTGCTTTTGTTCTTTTGGATGTACACCATATACGAAAGTCAGATCAAAATGGATTAAAGACCTCAACATCAGACCAGAGTCCATCACCTACATTAAAAACATGGTTGAGAAAACCCTCCATGACATTGAAGCTAAAGGTATCTTTAAAGAGGACACTCCACTGGCCAACCAAGTGGAAACAGAGATAAACAGATGGGACTACCTCAAACTGAGAAGCTTCTATACCTCAAAAGACACAGTGAAAGGAATTCGAAGACAATCAACAGAATGGGAAAGGATATTCACCCAATACCCATCTAATAAGGGGTTGATATCAAGGATATACAAGGCACTGGTTGAACTCTACAAAAAGAAAACATTGAACTCCTTCAGAAAATGGGGCAATGAAATGAACAGAAAATTCCTCAAAGAAGAATTCCGAATGGCCAAAAGGCACACGAAAAAAAGCTCTTTATCACTAATCATCAGGGAGATGCAGATCAAAACAATGAGATAGCACCTCACACCACAAAGACTGGCCCACATCAAGTTTTATTTTTACTTATCACTTATTTACATAAGTGTCTGGCTCAGTTTTTGCCCTCAGGTGTGTCTGATGATTGCTGGAACGATTTTGTGTGTGCTTCACAAAAACTTAACCCAGGACTTCACTCAGGAAAGGTTCGTGCTCTCCCACTGAGCTACATCCAAGTCTCCACTCTGGACAACTTTCAGCCATGTCACTCACTCTTCTTCTATTGTCCAAAATTAGCCTAAGCCTAATGTCAAGAAAGTTGGAATCCTCCATATAGAAAGTAAATAAATCACTTGGATTTATTAACATTATGGGAGTAAAGCTAACACTACTGTGTTACAATAACACCGCGTTCCATGACTACAAATTTCTCATTACTACAGAAACCTTAGTTACTGCTGCCCAATTCTTTGTAACAAAAAATTCCAGATTATATAAAGAAATAGACACAGTAGGGTCAAAGAAAGACACTTAATTCAAACCTTAATTGATGCATAGGTGGTACAAATGTGATGCAAATACCGGGACATCAAACTACATTAAAGAATGTGATTTGAGGGAACCAGAATGATGGCAAATGGATCGAGGTGCTTGTTTTGCATATGGCTGTCCCTGGTTAATTCAGGGCACAGCATATGGTCCCCTGACCCCCACAAAGAGTGATTCTTGAGCACTGAACCAGAAGAAAGCCCTGAGAATCACCAGGTATATGATCTATGGTCTCATGCAAAAAATAGAATTTGAGATACATGAGAGAAACAAATCTATAAATCAGAGAACTAGAGGAAGAACAAACTTCCACCCAATGACCAAATTTAAGTACAAAAGAAGAAAATAGCAAAGAAGATAAACTTGGATATGAGAGAAGAAGAAAATCAATAGAGGTATGCCACTTTGCCCATTTGGACTCCAATTTATTTGTCTATTAATGTTTTTGCTTGATGACTTTTTCTTCAGAGGCAAAACTTCACAGCAAACAATAGCTGAATAAATAGCTAAACTAAATTCTGTACAGAAAGCAGAAATCATTGTCAAGTTTATTGTCATTCATCAAATAATTTCACAACTAGATATAAGTGAAATTTGATTAATATCAATTACATCTAGTATAATTATAATTATTAATAGTTATAACTATATAATAGTTATATATTATATATAATAGTTATATATAATAACTATATTATATATAATATATAATAGTTATAAATTCCAAACGGGATCAGACCACCGTCTTCTTCGTGCAAAATTCTACCTCACAGAACGAGGAGAAAAGAATGCAAGGTTTAAGAAGAAGACTCCCAGAACAACCACCAACTGGGAACTCTTTGGCTCTGTTGCGGCAACATGGGAAGATGCCGTCATTGACAACATTGATGAGGAATACGATCGAATGATTCAGCACC